TAGATCCCTCGACACCTCCCTAGTCCCTGAGCCTAGACCCGAGCCTCTGAGCTTGCGCCAGTGCGCGCCGTTCCTGGGGGGTCCATCGGTGGACGCAGTGGCCCCCGCCTTCTGGGGAAAGGGGACGTCGAGGCGTTGGAGCTATCCGATTCTCAGATGTGAGCTGGAGACACCAATTTTGCCCCAACCCGGGCTTCCAGAACCAGGTCGGGCGCATAGTGGACCTGCAGCTGGTTCTCCGCTGGGAGGCGCACAGGGAAGTGTTCCGAGGGCCAGACACCCGACGCCCCTCGGGGGTGGGAGGCAGAGCCAGACTCAGGTTCCAAGTCAGACCCTTAAACTTAGGGGTGCCACTGCGGCTACCCCAAAGTCAGACCTGAGATCCCCGCAGCGAGGAACCTGACGCTCAGCTGGTCAGAGCAGCACGGGGCGATCGCTCAAGAGGAGGAAGGACTTTCTCCCCATCTCTGGGTCTCGAGGTCTATTTCTCTGTCCCTCATGTCTCACTGACTTTGTCTCTCTTTCCTTGACTGTCCCTGTCTCTGGATTTGTCTTCTTTCTTCCCTTCCCTCCCTAAGGAAACGTGGCTTCTCTCTCTTCTTCCTTCCCTCCCTCTCTCAGGCTCAGCCGAGGGAGGGGCATGGGCTCAGTAACTGGGAAAATATATTTGGGTTCAGAAGGGCCTTCCCGGTTGAAATGTGGGCAGCTTGGGGAATCTCATAGGATCCCCCCATGCAGTGACCCACCAGTCTGGGTGCGTACGCGCGCGCGCGCGCGCGCGCACACACACACACACACACACACACACACACACACACACACACACATCCAAATATCATCTCAAGAGTCTCTACTTGCTGACTTCTACCTACTGGAACTAATATAAACTTGGCCAGACAAGAGCCAAGTGCATAGACTTAAAGGATTGGCTATCTTGGACTTCCACCTAGCTGTCCCTGGTCACTAGACTGAAACCAGCCAAGGGATAGGAACCTAAGTCAGGGAAGCATGGGTATGAGGTCTCCTTGTCCTTCATTAGGCAGCAGAGCCTGGTCACCATGCTCTCTGAGGAAGGCTCCTGGTCCCAGTCACAGGGAGCACACTCCAGCAGACAGGCCAAGTGGAGGAGGGAAGAGGGCTTGAACTGGTTGTGGGGAGAGCTGGGTTCTAGTCTTGCCTCCCACTGTGAGCCTGGGCCATGCCACCTGGCTCTGGGCCTCAGTTTCTTTGTCTATAAAATGGGCAAAAGTTGGATCAGGTCTTTCTCAGGATGGCCTGGCACAGATCCTAGGAATAAAGTGACAGGGATCTGGGTTCCACACGCCCCTCCTGGAATTGATAACTGATACTGGTCAGAGGGAGGGGGGTTGTTGGAGCTTGTACCCTTGCAGACAAGGGGCTTTGTGGAGATCTGATGTGAGGTTCCCTCACCCTCAGCAGCTCTCAGTTGGCCTTTCTTCTGAATGAACTCTGCCGCCTACAGCCTCTTCCTGCTGCTCCATTCAGCCTTGCATCCCAGCTGCTCATCTGGGCCTTAGTCCAGAGCAGGAAAGGAGGCATGATCAGACAGTGGTATCCAGCACTGGGACGGGTTAGGGAAATCCCTGCTGGGGAAGTTCTTGACCCGGGGCCTAGGCCAGGCCAGGCCAGGCAGGGGAGAGGAAAGGATTTCTAAGAGGAGAGAGAATGAACTCCTGGGCTGGGAATCGGGAAATTTGGTTCTAGTTGCACTTCTGCTACCAACCAGCTGGGCAGTTCAGACAAGCAACTTTTCTTCCTCTGGGCCTTGGTTTCCTCATCTGAAAATGGGGATATAGAACCTTCCCCATAGTGTTATTGTAGAGACTTAGTAACAAACTTAATTAAAGATTAATGTAGGGTGAGGCCTGGCAGGTAAGTTTTCATAGTTGACTTGCTCCAGAGACTAGATAGGGTGGCAGTAAGGACTACTCAGGTAGGGGTTGCTGTGTGACTTTGAGCAAGTCACTTTCCTTCTCTGGTGCTTCCATTTAGACGTGTAAGGTCTCTTCCAGCTGGGACCCCATGCCAACCCCAACCCCAACTCCCTCTTCCTTCTGCATGAGGATAGGAAAATATTTCCAGGGTTAAAGATCAAAAGGGATGGAGTCTGTGTGTTTCTCAGTCTGGAAGATAAAGAGTAGGGTATTCACTATCTTTCTGAAAAATCCAGATAAAGGCCATAAAGTCGCATGTGCTCTGTTGCTCTGTGCAAAAAGCAAACATCAAAAAGTATGCTCACTCTGAACACTACTATGTAAGAAACACGTATTCTCTTGGACAGAGACAGGAGAATAAGTAAGCAAAGTCAAGTGTGCTTGGAAATGGCCCGAGGTACTTTATTTTTCCTTCTGTGGAGATATCTTCGTGCTGTTGCAATCTTGTCTATGTGATTCTCAGAGAACCCCTCAGAAGGGGTGACCTTCCTGCCAGATGTGGGAGCCTCTCCTCCCCTCCCCACCCCACTCTCCTACAGTTCCCCACATGGCCGCTCTAGAGCCTTCTTCCCTGTACCCTGTGATTCTTCAGCTCCCAGGCAGTATGAGAGGATCTGTTGCTCTAGGAACTGGGATAAAGGACCAGAGGGAGAACAGGTCATGTCTCCAGATAGAGACTAGGTCTGTGTGCTTCTTGCCTCGTTCTTCTAGCTAAGGGGAAAGGATGACTCTGGTTTCTCTAGAGGAAAAATGGCTTTAGATCCCAGAGAAGCCCCAGCTGGGAGGGTGTGGAGAGGAGGAAGAGGAAGAGTTCTGTTGTCTCAGAGGGGAGCAGCAGGAAGCTTTGAGGATGTTTGCCCAGCACACTCATATACCTCCCAGCAGGAGGCCAGGTATAGGAATGATAGGAACCCAGGGACCAGCCCAGGAGAAAGCAGGTGTGAGGGCTAAGTTTGATCACTGCTCACCAGCCCCAAGACTGGCTTCTCCTGAGCTGAATGGGGAAGCAGAGAACCACCATCATCACCACCCCAGGCTTGGGGGGATTTAGGGAGATTAGAGAAGTATGCAAGTTTAAGTGTTCCTATGTCTGTGTGTGGGCCTTTCACAGCCTTTAAATGGGGAAGGGCGTGAGTGTGTGTGCTCATGCATGTTTCTCTTTAAATTCTCACCAACAGGAAAGAGGACCCAAGGGCCAAGGCACTCTGGTCTCAGAGTAGAATCTACTAGAAAAGAACTAATGGAGAAAAACTAATGGAGGAGACCAAATCTCAGGGCTCCTATTCAGGAAGAGAGAATCTCCCTGGATACCTACCTCTTCCTCCTCTAAAGCTTTGAGTTTGTTTGGGGCAGGGGGGTTTAATTTTGTTTTTGCTTCCCCTACTAGGATATGAGTTCCTTGAGAACAGGGGTTTATTTGTCTTGTCCGCTGCTATATCATCAGTGCCACACACAGTGCTTGGCACAGAATAGGCCTCAACCAACCATTGCTGAATGAATGAAAGGAAGCCCAGGCCAGACCCCACATTTTATAGGGGGGAGGAAAAAGTGTGCTTAAGCTCATCTACTTCCAGCCATCGGAGTCCTGCAGGCTGCACTGTTTCTAAAATTCAGGAAGAGCTCTCCATGCTTTCCAATGCGCTGTCATTGCCTTGAGCCATCCCCATCCTGTGTGTGGCATAGCCCCCCACAAGCCCCTGGTCCAGGACAGCCTAGAGCTGACTGAACCACAGTAGATTTGACTTTGCGGCGTAGGCCTCAGACTTTAGCATTGGCTTCCATTTTTCCCAGTTTCTTCTTGTTCGGGTTGCTTTGAGACTCCTGGATCCACACCATCACCAACTTCAAACTAAGTCTTTTTCAGTCCTGCCTCAGGGCCTTTGCACATGTTGTTCCTGACATCTAGCGAGCTTTCCCTTCCGTTCTCTCCATCTCATCTTCCTCAGCTCAAATGTCACCTCTTTAAAGAAGGCTCCCCAACCACCTCAGGTGGGACCCTCTGTAATTTCCTGTTTCAGTCCTTTGGTTTCTTCATAGCCCTTATCTAAGTCTGCAGTTATTGTATTGATTTATTGTCCATTTCCTCCGTGAAAAATCGCATTCCGTGAGAACAGACATCATGTCAGTTTTGTTCATTGCCAGAAAACTAGCACAGTACCATGATACAAAATAGTGCATAATATAGTAAAATTCCACCGTAAAGCAATAAGCCAAGTCCCAATTTTCAATCATGTAAAATATGGAGTTATGGTATTATAGGATCAATGAAAAACAATATTTTTAGTGAATCTGTACTATCAGAAAAAGCACAAAAGTAAAGATTGTGAAAACTTACTGCCTGTAGCAGACCAAACTGAGAAAGTTCCCGAGGAGCATGAAGCAGTCAATTCTTTATCAACCCCACAGATAAGAGTTTTGCCCACCTTTATTCGAGATGGGCCCCAGGCATAGGACAAAAGCCAAGGCTTAGTCACACTGTAGTGGACTTTGCTCCATTTCAAAGATTTACTGTGTTTGTAGAGAAAACTACTTCAGACTGGGGCAATCCCTGTAAGGGAAAGGAGAGAATGTTTTTTTTTTAAAAGACAGGCCTGAGTGTTCAAGAAGCATACTGATAATTCCGGAAGGGACCCTGAGGTTCTGGGCCTGGCCCTGAGGGTAATGGGGATGCTGGATCCCAGAAAGATGCTGTCTGTGCCCTGATCCACTCTGAGGTCCCTCTGGCTTCCCTGGACCAGCTGGGGATTCATTTGGTTGTTCCTCGGTACACACATCTTGTCCTTTAATAACTGGGCACCGAAGGAGCACCTATGCCAGTCACTAGACATAGTAACCTCTGGCCACTCGCAGCTAAATGAGAGAGACAGAGAAGGAAAGAGAAGAGGCACCACGATGGAGTATTGTGGGAGCCTGAGGAGGAGCAGCCAGCTGAGCTGGAGATCACGGAAGGTTTCACAGAGGAGGCGACCTCTGCACCCTCCCTCCCCAATGTCCCCATCCTTATTGGAAAAGGAATTACTGGAAAGCATTTCAAAAAAAAAGAGCTAAAGCTATGTCCCTTTTATTGAGGCATCGTTGTCCCCTGTGCAGATGAAAAACTGAGAATTAGAGAGGAGGGGACATCTTCATTTTGTTCTTGGGGCTGGAGTGAGTCAAAGAAGGGACAGAACCATTTTCTCTTCTGTTCTTGTATTGGTGTGAACTTTGCTCTCTAGAGGAAGGAAAGTTTGGGATATCAGATATAAGAAGGGTCCCACCTTCATCCTTACCCACTTCTACCCTTGGGGCACCGTGGTCACCTAGAGTGTTAGAAGCAGAGCCAGCAGGTTGCCTGGCCAGTGAGAGGAGAGGCCCCACATCCCATCCAGTGCCCTCTCCTCATGCTCACTCTGGGATGCTGCTCCCTAGCCCACCTGGGAACTCAGACCTTTGCTCTCTGCAGCTCCCAGGACTCCCCAGGAGGGTCCGTTGACATCTGGCCTGGCTACTGTGCTAGGAGAGAGGAAGATGAAGAACACCCTGTTTTGTGGCTTCCCTCCCCATTTCATGTGCCCCCCGTAAGTCTTGGTACTGAGGCCCTCCCAGAGCACCCCTCTCTAGGGCCTGGCTTGCCCTCGAACCTCCCTCAAGAAACCAGCTCCAGATGCTGGAGAACAGGCTGTTCTTCTGGAAGTCTCAGCACTCCAGGGGGCAGGATGGAGGAGGAAGATTTGGGTGGAGTTATAGTCAAGACTATGAGCATTGCTCTGGCTGGAACACTATGTAACCCCCTTGAGCAGACTAAGGGAAGCCGGAGTAAGTGGCAGGACACTTGACCAGGACTGGGGAGAAGGTAGGGGTGGGGGTACCTGGTTCAGAAGAAGCTGGGAGAGGCAAGATACGGCCCACAACTCTGATCATCAGCGAAAACATGCTAAAAGTATTGATTTCCTTGGACTGTCAAAGATCTTGATCCTATGACCTCAACACACCATATCATCCACACGGCCAACTGGACAGCTGCAGCAATAATCGGCTTCCCTGCTACTGAGTTCAATGTGCCTCCTCTCCCAACTCTCCTGGGACAGAGCCCTCACTGCAGCCTCCTTGGCCCTTGGCTTTTGGCCCAGGAGCCACTTCACCCATCACCGAGAGGCTGACACATCTGGGCTGGGCTCCGTGGTCCGACATAACAGCTGGACAGCAGCAGCTGTCCGCCTCTTCCCCTTCCAAAAGAGTAACAAAAATGAAAGCAGCAGTGGAGTAAGACAGGCTCTTCAGGCCCTTGAGGAGAGCCGGGAGGCAGTTCTAAAGCAGCGATTGAAGGGATTGCTGCAGAGGCAGACAGGCCCAAGCCTTTGCCCATGTGTTCCGCTTCCCCTCTGCCTGGAATGTCCTCACCTCTCCTCCCTTCGTTGCCCTAACTCGCTGTGTGACCTTGGGAAAATCACTTCCTCTTTCTGGGCCTTAGCTTCCTCACTGCCGAACTGGACTGAGAATTCTTTGAGGGCAGAGAGTGTCAGGCAGTTATTTTTGTCTATTGGCTAGTTATAGCTATAGTGACTGAGTGCTCAGGAAATGTTTATTTATTGGATGGCTGGCTGGATGGATCTAAGGAACGAAGAAATGGTGAGGGTGATGAATGGATGAATGGAATAGGTGGACGGATCATGGAAGAAAGGACACTGCCACACTTCCAGCTTTGATGGCATTTTCTTTTTTAAGTGAAGTTTATTTATTTATTTATTTACTTACTTACTTACTTACTTACTTACTTACTTATTTAAATAGTGAATATTAACCTAAATCCCACATCTGCCCTCACTTTACCATGATGGCCTTTTCTATTATGAAATAGATTGTTCCCATAAAAGAATATATATAATGCATGCATATGAATTATAAAGCAGAAGAAAATGGACACCTGGATCTCCACTGCCCAGCTGAAAAAATAGACCCACCTTTGAATATCTTGGTGTCTCAAAGCCGCATGAGTCGGAAGAAGTGAGCTGTAGACCCTGAATCCACCCACCCTGGGCAGATCCTGAACAGGAATGTCTTGAGACCTGGCGTCTACTCCCAGATTCGACCTGACTAGACAGCGAGTCCACAGGTCAAATGGCAGATACCTACACAAGAACTGGGGAGCTGAGCCTTATCTGAGGTGGGGTGGCATGGCCATTAATGGTCACTTTCAGTTGCTCAGACCCAGGAGCAAATCCTGGCTCTCACAGTTTGTCATCTGCGTGAGCTTGGACAGGTGCCTTCACCTCTCCCAGCTTATTTTCCTCCTCCATAAAGTAGGAGTGATTGTAGAACATAGGGTTCTGATGAAAATTCAATTAGATAACTCTTGTAAAAAGCCTAGCACAGTGTGTGGCACATAGTAAATCCTCTCTAAACAATAGTTGTTGCTGCTTTTATACTAATTGTTGCTTTCATTACCTGAAAGGAAGGTCCCAGCACTGGAAAGCCCTTGGAAGGATGTCCCACCTTCTCCATCCCTGTGCTGAGCCCTGATTATAGGAACTTTATTTTCTTATCTACGTGACTTCTCTGGAGCTTGAAAACTCTTTTAGACAAAGCCAAGAGATGCTGAGCCCCTTCTCAGGGCTCTGTCTTTCTGGGCATCAGGAGAGGGATGGCCAGGGATAAGCAAAACCAGGGCCCTAGTGAGGACCCAGTGCATGGAGTAGGTAGGGGGCCCATACTTTGTTTTTAGTACTATACTAGGTATTAGGATAGGGCAGCAAGATATCAACCATTCCTTCAACAACCATTGTTGTTGTGTGTGCTTAAGAGCACAAAGTCTGCAATCAGAGCTTGGGTTTAAATCCTGGCGCAACCTCTTGCTAACTGAATGAACCTGGGTAAGCTACTTAACTTCTCTGTGCCTTAGTTTTCTCAACCACTAAGGGGGTCACTAATAGTACCTACCTAATCTTCTGAAACTTAAATGAGATAGATACTATATGGAAGGAGCTAGAATAGAGCCTAGGACAAAAATATTAGCCATTATTATTATCATTACTATTAGGCATTACTATTAGGCATATCATTACTATTAGGCCCTGTGTGAGGCCCTGTAGATGAACTCTATCCTATATCCTACCCTCAAGGACGTTCAAGTTTAGAATGAGATATGGGTCCCATTGTGCATAATTAGAGTTCAAGGCATGATATTAGCCAGTGACCTAACAGTCTATAAGTGCTATAGCGGTACAAGAGGGAGAGGACACTTCCAGTTGGGTGATCAAGGAAGGCTTCCTGGAGGAAGTGGCATTCGAATTGGGCCTTATAGGATGATAGGAGTTGGAATAAGATAAAGGGCAAGGGCATCCAGGCACAAGGAAAGGTACGAGCAAAGGTCCTGCAACAGTGGAGCTCACAGCAGGTTCGAGGAGCTGGGAGTACTCATTCAACCAGGCCGAAGGGAAGACAAAGATGAGTGGCTCCAGCTATAGTGTTAAGTCAAGGTCCTTTTACAACAGACCTTGAATGCAGTACGTAAGAGCTGGGAGTTTTATCAACAGGCAGGAGGCAGCCAGTGACAGTTCTGAGCTAGACATAGTGGTGGTCCCAGCAACTCTGAACTGTCTTAGTGTTGGGAGAGCTAGAGTCCATTAGGGGGTTGTCAGCTGTCAGCCTGTCTGGATGATGAAAGACTCTCCTTGAAAGAATATAGAATTGTGAGCCCTCCCTGCGCCCAGAGCAGCCCAAGGCAGCAGCTGACTTCCACCCTCTGCCCTGATGTGACTTTCACACTGGGCCAGGAGTACCAGTTCCCTTCTGGCTCTTTCATCCCCAGCACTCAGGCCAGGCTGACCTGGGGAGGTCTAAGGCAACTCCGCCTTTGCAGAGGGACAGGCTGTCCCTCTTCATGCTGAGAGCCCTGCCCTGAACCATGTCCTTCCTCCTGGTCCAACCCTGGGAGACTAATGGGATTCCCCTACCCCTCCTATAGCTCAGGACCCTCCACTATTAGGCAAAGCATACCCCTATTGGCCCCAGGGGGCTAGAAGGATTTGAGCCCTCCTTCTGAGCCCAGCCCAGCCTGGCACCTCACCTCCTTGGCCCTCCCACCCGTCAGCTGGGACTAGATGCCCAGAGTGCCTTTCATCATCCTCCCAGAGAAGAAGCCCAGCCCTGCCCTCTGCCGCCCTAAAGCCTTCACCCCTTTCTCTCCCAGGGCTGCAAATCAGTTCCACATTTGGGATCTGGCATGTACTATCTGCTCAGAACTTTCCCCTCCCAGTTAGCTCAGGCTCCCATTTCCCCCCACCCCACATGGTCAGCCCATGGGGTCTGCAGAAGGGGAAGGGCTCCTGCCTTCAGTGACCCCTTCGGAAGTCTGAGAGGGAGGTAGACTGTGGCAAAGTATCAGAGGGACAGTGGACTGAGGCCCTCCCAGGGAGAGATGAAAGAGGAAGGCTAGAAAGGGGGAGGGGTAGTGGTGAAGGCAGTGCTTGAGCAAGCATATGAGGGGATGAGGGGTTGGGGGTGGTGAGGAACGGAGCGAGGTAGTTCCCAGCTCAGCACATTCCTGAGACATCTGGACGTGCTGGAAGGGCCCCAGCTGGCCTGCATGGCTGTGGCTCCAGATTCTCTGCTCTGTGATGTCAGGACCCAGCGTTTTCCCCCTCCTCTGAGTCCTACTGGTCTGGGGTCCACCTTGGGGCTAAGTACTGGGTTCTCTTCCCTGAACCCCTCACCCTCAGTGAACAAGAAAGAAGGCCCTGGGGCAGCAGTAGAAATGCCTGCCCCAGAGGAGGGCCTGGGCTGGTGGTAGGAGACAGACCTGGGAGACCCAGGAGTTTGCCCATGCGACTGGCTCAGGGAGACTCCTCCTTTGGGCAGATGCCAGCCCCTTCCCTTCTCCTTGGAAGGGAGATAGAGACAGAGGAAAGACTCTGGAAATGACTGCTTACCTTGAGCTGTGTGATCCTGGGCAAGTCCACTCCCTTCCTTGGCTCTCAGTTCTCCTCTCTGTAATAATAATAGCTACATTTAATGAGAGCCTCCTATGTGTCCTGCATTGTATAAAGCTCTTTACAAAGGTTATCTCCTTTCATCCTCACAGCAACCTGGTAGGGTAGATATAAGAGCCCCCATTTTATAGCTGAGACTGAGGCTTAAAGAGGTTAAGTAATGCGCCCAAGGCTACATAATAGGTAGCCGAGCCAGGATTAAGACCGGGTCTGTCTATCTCCCTCACTCATAACCATTGAACTACACTGCCTCTGCAAATAAAAGGAAATGGACCTAATGATGCTAGAATTCCTTTGAGCTCTAAAGTCGTAACGATTTCTTTTGGCTATCGTGGGGATCTTCAAGAAGGGCAGAGGCAGGCATTAGTCACACACTGAGTGGGGGAAGGAGGGCAGAGGCATCTGACTGTGAAGCATCAGATGGGGCAGGAGTCTTTGGAAGTCCCCATAAAGGTCCAGACCCCAGGGGCTGGAGTCACAGCCTGATCCCCAGCCGAGCCCAGGGGTCCCACACCTTCCCTAAAAGAAGGGAGTAAATAAGGAGAGAGAATGAGCTTCTTCCAAAAATAAAACCTGAGGACAACTCAGACAGGCCAGGACGCTGAGGAAGCCAAAGCTTGAATGCTGAGTGAACTGAGGAGAGGCAACAGGCCAAGGGAATTCCAGCCAGAGCCCGGTGGCAGGCTCCAGCCAAGGAGGGCCTTCCAGCTGGCCAAGGGCTGGGAGAACAGTTCAGCCGGTTGGCCACTGGGCTCTGTTTATATTCTCGGACCTGGCCTAAGCCTGGGGCAGCTCCTCCAGTGCTGAGTAGGGGGCTGTGGTTCCCATGTACCTGGTCTAGCTGGGGCTTAAGAACAAAAAGGCCTTGAGGAAGAAAAACCTGGAGAATGGGTACAACAAGCCCCAATAAGGAGGAGCCGAGGGAAGGAGTCCAGGCGCATGGAAACTCTGCCTGGAGCGAGAGCAAGCTGGCACCAGAGTGGAATTCAGGGCAGTCATTCTTGGAGGCTCAGCTGCAGAAAAAAGGCCTCAGTTCGTTAGCTCACTGGCGCATTCCTTCATTTAGCCACTCATTCAGTCAGCCAGTCAGTCAGCAAACATCTGAATATCTACAATGTCCTGGGACCGATGCGAGACTTTAGGGATACAGATGAGAATTGGACATATCAAGACATAAGGACAACATGGCTGGATCATTTCAAGCTACACTAAGGAACTGGAAAACCATCCTAAGAGCAGTAGGGAGTCATCAATGGATATTGAGCAAAGGAGTCCCATAGTCATATTTGTGTTATATCTCTTGATGCAAGGTGGAGAATGCTCAGGAGACAGATCAGAGTTCAAGCCTTAGACATACCTTCATAAATGGGGGAGTCACACCCCTAGTCAGAAACCTTCTGTGAGCATGAACTGGGCTTTGTTTATCTCTGTATCCACAGGGCTGGGCACACAATAGGTACTCAGTAAATACTGAACAAATGTGAAAGTAATAAATAAACGGATGTGATGGGATGCCCTTCTCCTCTCCAGAGGCCCTCAGCGCCAGCCCTGGCACTTTGTCTTCAGTGTCCTGAGCTGTCTCATAGGGATCCTCTGGCCACTGCCTATAGACCAACATCTCCAACAGCCAAACCGTGGGCTGCTGTGCCCTTAGTGGTGCCAATCACAGCTAATCCCAGCCCTGGGCGGGGGCACTCACTGCCATCGCTTCCTCCTGCCCACACAGTACCTGGCATCCACGCCAGGTTGGGCAACGGCACCGCGGGCTGCCTGGTCAGAAGACGCCAGGGGCTGGGCGGGAACCTGCAGGCCAGCTCTCCACTTCACTGAGGGATTCACGTCCTGGCCAGGAAAGGGTTACCAGTGTCGGAAGGGGGAACTAGAAAGCCAGACTAAAAGGGCTGGGTGCTGGAGAAAATGCACACCCTCCCCCAGGACCCTGCTCTGCACAGAAGCAATCTCTGGTGGGTGCCAACCTGCCCTTCCCTCTCTCCCTTCCTTTCTCGAGCGCACATGCACAGAAAAGCTCAGTCCTCACATTACCCCTTCCTCCAGTCCCAGCCCGCACTATCTCAGCCCCAGGCAAGCCTGAGACTCCCAAAACTCCCTTGCTGGGGGTCACATGATTCAGCCATCTCGGGCACGTGGCTTGGCACAGTCAACATTTAGTTCTGTGGTCGTGTGAGATTTTGCGGGTGTTCATGTGAGAGTGTGCATGTCCACATCTGTGACCGTGTCTGGGGTGACCGCACATGTGTGTACATGTGGGAGCTTGTGTCTGTCTGATCACATCTGAGGAGTGTGCCCACATTAGGTCTGTGTTAGTGCCTGCCTGTGTCTGCCTGTGTGAGTCCCTAAATGTGCATTAGCACCTATGCCAGGCTATATATGGAACTGTCTGTGTCCATGGGTGTGGATCTTACATTGGGTGATGTTTCCCTGTGTAGGTAGGAACCTCACAGCCCATGTCTGTATAGCATGTGTACATGGGCACGCACACACGCGCACACACACACACACACACACACACACACACAGAAGCATTTCTGCTTATTTGGACTTGGGCTCTGTGGTGAATAGTTCAGTAGAGAGAAAATGTGAAACCTCAGCAGCCGCCTTCCCTGGGCCTGTGGGGAATGGGGGATGAGTGAGGTCGGAGCTTGGAACAATGTGCTCCCCTTAAGCCCCAGGCCCTGCCAGGAAGGCTCAGGGAGGGGCTGGTTCCTGGGACAGGGAGAACTGGCTCCATCCCTTCCTACTCCCCCAGAGAGTCCAGGGCAGCGGAAAAGAGCCCACTTTCTGAGGATTAGTTTCCCTCATCGCCTGCCACCTCGCCTCAATAGGAGCACAGATTATTATAGACAGGAAACTGAGGCCTGGAGAGGAAACGCCACCTGCCCCTGGGGTCACCTGACTCTGAGTCCAGGGCCTTTCCCCTTCACAGGACAGCCTTCAAGTCTAGCTCTGAGAAGGCAACCCCCAATGCCTGGGTGGTGACACTTAAGGACAAGAAGGGCCTATCTGACAACTGTATATCTGGGGCCCACCTCCCCTTCCCCAAGCCCCTCGGTGCTCTCTTGACCCTACCCACCACACACACACACACACACACACACACACGTACGCTGGGCATAGCAGTGACTCACACTGATGGCCCTTTAGCTTGTAATGGGGGCAATTTTCTAGTGACCACGAGGCAAGTAACCATCCAGGAATGTATGGGTCAGTGTGCATATGGGGGGGAGGGGGTGAAGAGTGGGGACCCAGCCTAGGAGGGAAGGGAAGAGAGAAGTGTAAGAAGACTCTTCTCCCATCTCTCCCTAGAGCTCACTGTCTCAGAAGGAATGTCCTGGCCGGGATTCCCCGACCCCAAAAAAACACCCCCCCCACCCCCCCTACCCCGACTCCTTACCCCACGGCTCCACCCAGACCTACTCTGGTCTCCTCCCTCCTTTCCCCAAGCAGAGACTGAATAAGCCTGGGTCAGGGGAGGGGCAGAAATCAGAGATGGGGGTGCAGGCGTCGAGGGGCTAGGGGCGTGAGGGAAGGAAGGGGACTCTCTGAGCCACCTCAGGTCAGAGGGAGACCCTTTCTCTCACACACATCCTTGGCAGACAGCTGCACCTCCAGAGATTTTCCCTCTCTGCATTGACCCCACTGGAGGAATTAGGGGAGGGAACGAGGGAAGCTTCAGATAGTCCTACTGGGGGTAGTCTCCCCCCACCCCCACTAGGGACCGAGATCCCGCTGCCCCAACAATGCGCCCCGTGGTAGAGTTATTAGTGAAGGGGCAGAAGTTGCTGAGCAGAAAAAGCTGCAAGATTTGGGGCCCGGCCTCACTCTGGAGCCGGGGCGTCCAAGGAGATCCTCTCTCTCCACTTCCCGCTGCTTGCAGTACGGGGTCGAGGCCATGCTACTGATACATGTCTTAGGACACCGTAGGACCTCCGGGCCTACCCGGACGATCATTTCTGCCTCCGCCCCAGGCGCAGAAGGGGGCACAAGGCCAGATCCCGTATACCCTGCCCTTCCTGTCCCGGGACCGTCTGTTGGACCCCCGAACCTCAGCCACGAGAGCCCTGCCCTCCTCCCGCCCCGTCCCGCAGCCGCCGAGGCTGTAGCAGGCTTCTCGCAGCTTCCTCCCATTGGCCAGGAGCTCCGCAGGTTCCGCCAATGAGCAGGCCAGCTTTGGGCGCGGGGCGGCCCCAAGTGCACGGTGTTTTAACCTCCAGTGGGCTGCGCCCAGCGGGCAGGTCCCGGGTCCTACTGTAAATTTAAAGCGCCGGCGATAGAGACCGGCTTAGGGAGGGGCTGCAGACGAGCGGGCGGTGGGGGAAGGGAGAGTCCGCGCTGGAGAGCCCCGGTCTTCTCCTCCAAGATAGTGGAGCCGGCGCTGGCTGCGCGTGGCAGCTCAGAAGGAGCTTATGTTGGCATGAGTGTAGGAAAAACTCTTTAACGAGGAGGGAAACAAATCATAATGCAGTATTTCCTTCTCTGGCTTCCCATTCCCCTCCGCCCCCCCCCCACACCCCGGTTGCCTGGAAAGGCACCTCTATAGACCGCTCATCCCCAGTAGAACCCTATCCCCCTCAGAAGGACGACCCACGACCCCCTGCTGTTTATAGATTTACTGCTCCCCACCCCCAATAATTTCCATCAGTCTGAAATCTGAACTTTTTGTGTGTGAACTGGAAGGAGAGCTGGGTGTGGCTACGGTGGGAACGAGGGGTCCTGCCGGGGCTGAGGAGGCCTCTATAGACCGCTCATCCCCAGTAGAACCCTATCCCCCTCAGAAGGACGACCCACGACCCCCTGCTGTTTATAGATTTACTGCTCCCCACCCCCAATAATTTCCATCAGTCTGAAATCTGAACTTTTTGTGTGTGAACTGGAAGGAGAGCTGGGTGTGGCTACGGTGGGAACGAGGGGTCCTGCCGGGGCTGAGGAGGCCTGCGCTCTACAGAGAGGGCTTCCCAGGGTTGGGGGGAGAGTGGGTAGACAGAGCGGAATAAGTGAGAGGACAAGAAGGAGAAGGTGCCCCGCATCTTTTCGACCCCAGAGCGGCGAAGAACCCCTCCTTCCGCATTCCCCGCTCACTGCGTGACCCTGAGTAGGTGCTTTCTTTCTCTTGATCTTGATTTCCTCATTAGC